TTATTAAATGAAGTAAGTCTACGTAGACTTACTCTTGGAATAAATGAATCCCTCTTATATATATATATATATATATATATATATTAGTTAATCATTTATACACTATCAATGTAAAGTTTCTTACATTGGCAACCAATCAAATCTTTTAAATTATTTTATTTTATTTTTATTTCATTAAATAAGCAACTGACATGGTACTATTAAAAGATATGATTGGTTGCCAGTGTAAAAAAACTTTACACTAGCAGTGTATAGGTGATTGACTCTAAAAGGAACTCTTGTTTAAGTTGTTCCACTAAATAACTCATGATCTATGTTGAATTTTAACGATTCAATCGTTAAATAAAAAAATCTTAATGTATAGATTAAGTCTACAAATTTTTAAAAATTTAAAAATCATATGATACTACATTATATAAATTTAAATCAACGTATAAAATTTTGATTCATACCAATTGAGCCAATTATTTGATACAATATTTAATAGGATTAATGATGTTTTTGTTAGGTTAAAAGACAATTCTAGATACCATTGATCTTAAGTTTTATTATTAACAAATATAAATGTCTTTGATTAATAGTATAAACTTTTTGAATTGACTAAGACGAATATTTCACTAAAATGAAAGTCACCAAACAAGATGAATCTTGTAAAAGAAAATAATTGTATTAAGATGATTCTGCTAATGGATAAGACGAATCATTAGTCATGAAAAGATATATGTATTAAATCTTAATAATCTATGATCTCTAAATAAGAAATTAACTACATCTGAATAATTCCTTAATAGATTGCATTTAAAAATGCTTCCTTGGTACCAACGTTATACAAAAAAGGAAAGAAAGACATGTTTTGCATTAGAAAAGGACAAACACATTTCTACAAACATGAAAAGTTGTTTCATCACTACTTGATCGGATAAGAAGTGACAATTTAGTAAAAGCATTTAATGCAAACATTTATTACACCAACAAATACTTCTCTTTTCAAGAAGCAAATCATGAAGACAAACAAAGCAAGTCACGAGAAAGAAGCTCAAGAATTTGTAATGGTCATCTTCATTGAAACCATATAAAAGAAAACTTAAAGCTCAAAAAGAAGACAATTGACAACTACAAAAACTACATTCTTTTTTTTTTGTAAAAAGTCTTTGTATTTAATTTTTTGTATCATGTCTTGATAGGAAGACGAAACAACATTGTAAACCTTAATAACTCTAAGTTATTGGGTTTGAGCTTAAAGAGGCTTGATTGTCAAAGAATACTCAGTGTTAAAGTTTGGAGAGACTGTGTGAAAAGAATACATGGTAGATTGCTTGAAGAGGCAGTTCAAGGAATACTTATAGTTGAGCTAGAAGTGACTTGATAAAGAATACTTGTATCTTTGAAAAGATAATGAAATTTGATTTAATTGGATCAAGAATTAGACATAGTCTCGGTAGTTGAGAGGAACCAATATAAATTCTTGAATTCATTCTTTTCTTTGTTTGCTCTCTAATATCTCTCATGATCACTACTTCATTGTAGTGCAAAAAGTGAAAGTTTTTTAGCAACACTATTCAACCGCCTTCTAATGTTCCTTTTTTCTTCATAGTTTTAATTCTTGAAATATTTCTAAATTTTTTTATTTTCCCTTACTTTTTTTTCCTGCCACAGGTTTTTCTATTCCTCTATATTAGAGACTAATCATACTCGTGGTATTGTAATTGTTGCTAACTCAATGAGTTTTCACAAATAGAAATTGTATCTACAATATGTGAACATAGAGTGCTTAATCAATACTTCAACCAAGCAAGATTTTGTCCTTTACCTTTAAAACTAATAGTTTTCATTCATATAATTTTAAAAATATCTTAATTTTAATTCATAAAAATAATTTTTTCCCTCTTATACAAGGACTAAAATTTAAGTATTTCCAAAAATATAGAGAAACTTTTTTTTTTCGTTAGAATATAGAAACTAATTTATAAATATTAATACAATTATTAATTACATTTTTTCAATTATGTACTTATATAAAAACTAATTTAAGGCAATATTAATTATTATCTTTTCAATTATGTACTTATATTTACCTAATTCATAAATACATTATATATTTAATGTAAATGAGAAAGAAATATTAGGGTAAAAGTCATACAGAAAAGTCAATACTAGTTTTAACACAAATAGGGATATGGAATATATTTTTAATTTGTATTTTATCCTCTTAAATGGACAAATATATAAAAAATAAAGATAATACTAACTTGAATATCAACATGAAAGTTTCTTTTATATTGCACATATTTTTTTTGGTAGAAACAAGTAGTAATTATGGGTTTGTAGGTAACTCATTTAAACTATATTTTATTATTAAGTTCCTTCAAATTATTTATTGAACATGCATTTAATTATCAATAATAATATTTAAGCCAATGCATTTTTCAAGCTAAATATTTATTATATGTAACTAAAATTTATAATATATATATATATATATATATATATATTAAATATATTTAAA